GAAAGTGTGTGTTTGTGTGTGTGTGTGTGTGTGTGTGTGTGTGTGTGTGTGGACTTTCGGACCCTCCTGGACATTTGACAAAGATAAAGCTCCCTACTTTAAAATGTCTGATTCTAAACTTTCTGTAGAGCAATCATTAAACATTTAATATACTTTAAATTATAAATGGCTCAAAAGAGGAGCGCCCTGGCACTGCCAGCAATTTACAGAGAGCAAATGCACGTATGCATGGATCTGTAGCACATTTTTAGAGGGGCTCCATCAAATATTTACAGCACCCGCCTCTCCCTCCTTGTTAAGTTTCTATTAAGTTGGGACACTATTTATTGATTTTGAGCCAGTGTTCGACCATTGGACTTCGGAGTCGCCTATGTGGTCCAAACATTTGAAGGCGTTTGATTAGAAACACCATCATCTTGCATTCATGTCCTGTCAAAATTACAAATTTCCAAGCAGTAAAAACCCTTGTTTTTTTTTTTGTTTGTTTAATTCACACAGAGTAAAAAAGTTTGTGAATCCATTTTATAAAGACATTTTCTGTGACGTCAATGTGCATTGCGAAAAGCACTATTCAAATAAAACTGACTTGACGTCATATAAAAAAAGGACAGCTAGAGTCAATGAAAATTGTTTCAAATAGTTAAACCCTTAAGGTTTTTTTTTTTAATTATTATTCGTACTTGGTCTAAAAAGACAAAAAACAAAACCACTTTATAAAGACATTTTCTGTGACGTCAAAGTGTATTGTGAAAATCATTATACAAATAAAATCGACTTGACATCATATAAACAGTCAAAGGGCAGCTAAAGTCAATGAAAAATGTGTTCACAACCTGTATTTAATGTATTTCAAATAATATGTTCAATGAAGAAAAGAAATGGGGCAAGAGAAAGTAATTTATCGGATTGTGAAAAGTGAGCCAAAAATATGAAATAACACCACAGTAATGTGAAAGAAAAACTACATTCATGTCATTTGCCTTCTTGGAAAAACTATTTATAGCCAATGAGCCGACGCAGGAAAGTGAACTGCTCAACATCCCACAGGAACCTGATGCAAGAACAAAACGCATGGGCTGTTTGGAATTCTCTTCAGGTGGTAAGAACACGCTTCGGGTTTGTCTCATTTGTAGCAGTTTGCAGTGGGGGTGGAGCCGTCTTCATCTGCTGCCTTATTTATGCTCAGCGCCACATATTTACTTACCTGCTTTAAATTTTTCATTCATGCCGCCCATGTGTGATGAAATAGCGAACGCAGAGCCAATCGCAGTTTAAATCACCTGAGAGGGCACTGACAGCTCTAAAAAGCCCTATTACATGTACTTCCAAATGCTTTATATGATGATGGAGGGGTATGTCTCAAAATCTTAAGTGTAACATGATTGGGAGAAAGTGTTCACCTGTGCGGGTCTTAGTGTTGGTTAGGATTTCCTGCAGCCGCTCCTGGAGTTTATCGGCTCTTTTTCTCTCCAAATGGAGCTGCCTCTTCAAGTCTTTCAGCTGCAGACATAACATGACAGCCATTATTTGGACATCTGATGGACATTTAGTTTGAAGGACATTTAGCAGACTATAAACCAGTATAGTATTTGGACACTTAAGCCACACTTAAAGGGATAGTCCACCCAAAAATGAAAAGTCATCATTTACTCCCCTCAAGTTGTTTCCAACCTGTATGAATTTCTTTCTTCTGCTGAACGCAAGATATTTTGAAGAATATGGGTAACCAAACAGTTGATGGTCCCTACTGACTTCCATAGTATGGAAAAAGCTACTATGGAGGTCAATGGGGACCATCAAGTGTTTGGTTACCCATATTCTTCAAAATATCTCATACAGAAACTCATACAGGTTTGGAACTGAACCTGGAGGGTGAGTAAATGATGGCAGAAGTTTTATTTTTGGGTGAACTATCCCTTTAAAAAATAAATAAATGTCTAAATATCATTACATAAAATTGCAAACCAACAATTTGAGTTGAATTACTGAAATAAATTAACTTTTCCACGACATTCTAATTTATTGAGATGCACCTGTATACCGACAACATCAACTAAATATCCCATCCTCCAATTTTGCCGCAGTAGCACTACAAAATCCTTTTGTTTTTTGTCGGAAGGAGAAAAAGAGGGTAAGATATATGAAATTTCATCCATTTTGTGGCCAAAATCGCTTCAAGTAGGAAGGAACTTCCCAGAGGGACTGCATTTGTAACCTAATAAACAGTGTGCCTAATAAATAATGCCACAGAAAAACTATAACCAAAACTTTATTGAGCTAAAAGTATGGACAGCTTCTGGAGCTGGAAACACACACACACACACACACACACATAGAGAGACAATCAATAAACTGTCAAACGAGATTCTATTGATGAAACGGCTAGAGCGTTAATGAACGCTGATCGACCTTCGTCAATGGGAGGTCTGGTTTCAGGTCTGTAGGGCAGAGAGGTGTCCTGCCCATCGCCTGGGACCATTTTAATTCACTTTCTGGGAAATGGAGAGAGGGAAAGCCCTGATTCATCCCTTTCTCCTGACTGGATTGCCTACTTACCGCTGAACTACCTTTTTTCTCCAGGATTCTCTGTCCATCCACTGTATCTTTAATCTCCTGAAATACACACACAAAGGTCATTATAGTTCATCAAATCCATCTTTATTTTAAAACTACTGTCAAATGATTATTTTCAAATAACTTTTCAGTTTAGTTTGAAATGTTTCACTAAGCTACAGTTTAGTCTCTTTTTTTTATATATATTTTAGACAATAAAAAGACAGCACAACTGAAGATCCATATAAAACAAAAAAGGGCATTTAAATGCATTTATAGTGGAACTTCTATTGCAGAAATAATGTTATGCAATTCATGTTTTCAATATTTCATATTTATCTTATTATAATTATTATTATTATATTAACTATTTTAGTTCATATTTATTAGTTATGAATATACACTACCACTAAAAAGTTTAGGTTCAATAAGATTTTTAAATGTTTTTGAGTCTCAAGGATGCATTTATTAAAAAAATACATTAAAAACTGTAATATTGTGAAATTTTATTACAATTTAAAATAACTATTTTCCATTTTAATATATATATTAAAATGTCATTTATTCCTGTGATGCAAAGCTGAATTTTCAGCATCATTACTCCAGTCTTCAGTGTCACATGATCCTTCAGAAATCATTCTAATATGCTGATTTGTTGCTCAAGAAACATTTCTTATTATTGAAAGTAGTTGTGCTGCTTAATAACCATGATAATTTTTTTCCAAGATTATTTGATGAATTGAAAGTTAAAAAGAAAAGCATTTATTTGAAATAGAAATCTTTTGTAACATTATAAAAATCTTTTTAATCAATTGAATGCATCCTTGCTGAACAAAAGTAGTGATTTCTTAAAAAAAAAAAACATTTTAAATCTTACTGACCCACAAAAAGTGGAGTAGTGTATGATGTAGTGGCTGATGCTTTAAATCTTAGTATTAGTATACAGTAAGAACCATGACACAAGAAACATCAGAACAAAGGTAAGTCCTAATAAACCATTCTAAGATCAGACCAGGAAACACCAATTTTGCAGCTCTGAAAACTGAACATCACCCAGGAGCTGCTGGCAGCAGATGCTCACACAAAGAACAATGTCATCCTAATGTTGCATCGTTCTTGAGTCACATTTGAAATTACTGGTGAGCTCCAGTGATCACACCCCCACAATATTCTCCATCTGAGTCGTGACTTATTTAGCATCTTAAAAACACATAGTTCTCATCACGCTGAAGAACAAAAGCTCCAGCAGAGCCACTAGGAGACCAGTAGAGCGCTACAAATGAATACAGTCTGTTCACACACCTGTTTGAGTTTGCTGATTGTGTTGTTGAGTTCTTCTCTCTCTTTCTGCATCTCCATCACTTGCTGTTTGACTGTCTCCACCTCTGCAGCTTTAGCCTGAGAAACAGCAGGAATGTGTGTTAATTTATTCAAAACGGATAAGTTCTGGACAGAACTGATTATTTATTAATTTGTTTAATACACAGATTTGTCAGACTTGAAAAGTAGGATATGATATTTGATTAAATGACAAAGAACATGCTAAAATACAGTAAAATAAGCAAGTAATAAGTTGAAATATTTTCATTTGTGTGTGTGTGTGTGTACACATATATTCTGTGTTTTGTTAAACTAAAACTAAAATATATCTATCAGCATAAAAGAAAAGTTAGAAAATAAATTCTGTTCTCAAAATCTTGCATCAAAACAACTTCTTCTGCTTCTGAAATAAATTTTCTTTTGTGCTGACATAACCAAGGCTGTGCAGGCATGGTAAAAAATAATATTAAACGGTATGATCTAATTAAATCAGTCAAGTCATGCCGAAGATGGACTGGCCATAGGACTCCATCTCTGGCATGGATTGGTGTTTCAGTTCAGTAGAATCATAAATTAAATGCAATCAAATGTACTCCAGCTACAGCTTATTAAAAACAAAAGTAATTACATGAGATTTAACCTTGGGTTTCCATGACCTCATTGAGAAATTCTTAACTTTTGAGCACCTACAGACATGTCCCATGCATTTCATACTGTCTTTTAAGCTCATTAAGTAAAATTCTATGTCAAGCCATCATCCATCAACTCAGTGAGACGTGACAGAATTCTGATGTGTTTCTGAGACTTGAATATTTATGAAGACAACAAATGTGTCATAAAGACAAGATCTGCTAAATATAGCTTTACCGCTCATTACTTCATCTGCTTTCGCTGACTGTACTCCGTTAAGTGCTGTCAAACACCAAATGTGTTTTTATGATCACATCCAAAAAAAAGTTTACCTCCAGCTGAAGTGTGTGATCTTTCTGTACCCGCTGGATCTCTTCTGCATGGTCCAGTTTGTTCTTTTCCATGGTCTCCTGCTCACAACACAAACAAATGACACCAATATCAAGTATAAATCACCCAGACATCCAAGGATGAATGCAATATTTTGTTAGTTTGAAACATAAAAGTGAATCCAGTAAAATGCTCTTCTTTTTACCATTTGACAGTTTTAAAGTCTATAACTTTGAAGTTTGAAATTTGTATTTTACTTTTACATTTCAAACTTTAAAGCTACAGACTATAAAACTGTCAAATGGTGAAAAGCATTTTAGTGGATTTACAGTACGTTAATGGTTCAATTTCTTTTATATTTTACATTTATAAGAAATTGAAATATAACAATAAATCCACTGTAAATGCTCTTTACCATTTGGCATTTTAAAGTCTGCAACACGTTAACAAAAAAACAACACTGACATCATGTGGTCGGAATGATACTGATGTAGCCAGATGTAAACAACAAAAGACAGTTTCCATCTCTGCCAGTGCTTTGCAGCGAAAGATGATTGTGAACACACGGCACCTCTGCTTCCTTGAGCCTGCGCTCAAAACAGCCCTTTGTCCCCTCCATAGACTGAACCTGAGCTTTCAACTCCTCCACATACGGCTGAAGACCCTCCAGCTCTTTGGTACGAGCCTGAAAAAAAAAGAAACACAGTTGTAAATAGAAATTAAGCAGATCGTTTCTGTCCAAAGTACACTTTGTACAGACACAATCCACCTGGAGAAACCTGAGGTTAAGTGCTTTGTTGAATGTTCATGTCTCAACCTACAAGCATTCAGTTAGCGTCTCACAAAGGTTCCTTACTCTCTCGTCTCGTAGCTGTGAGCGGATCTCCTCTTCCATGCGGTTCTTCTCCTCATGGAGGCCGCGGAGCTCCTTCTCATAGCGGGCCCTGATGCTCAGCACTTCCTTCTCATGCTGCAAGCGCACATCGCTGAGTTCCTCTTTGTGCCGTGACTTCTCCTGCGCCGTCTCAATGGCCAGTTCATCCAGCATGACTTTACGCTTATCCGCAGTCTGAGAAAGTAAAGATAGCGTTCACTTTCTTCTTATCAGTGTGGTATTTCGTTTTAAATAAAATGTGGCAATATCAAAGCTCCAGTCATTGTCAAGACTGTATCACACATATTTTTCTTGATTTTTTCTTCTTTCGAACAACTGTTATTTAAATTACAGGTATTTAGACGGATAGAAACCTCCATAATTTAATTTATATACAGTGGTGTGAAAAAGTGTTGGCCCCCTTCCTGATTTCTTATTTGATGATCTGAAATATTAAAGTGTGACAAACATGCAAAAAAATAAGGAATCAGGAAGGGGGCCAACACTTTTTCACACCACTGTAGAAAAGAATGACAAACTTTTTATTTACTTTTTTTATTGTGATATTATTTTCAAGATTAGGCTAATTTTAATTGTCATTATTGTAATGTGGAGAAGCCGTAAATTAACCGTAAAATATTTATACATAATTTTGTGCTGAATTTGACGCAGATTTAAAATGTATAAAAAGTGTGTTATATCAGGATGATCTACATTGCTGTAGCAAAAGAAGCCTGTTTAATTCAAAGTGTCAGAACGACGGTGGAAAATTATCATTTAAAACTGTAAAAATTGGTTTTGGTGCAAGAAACATTCACTAACATCACTAGAGGGAAGAAAAAAATAATAAAACTTGTACAAAAGAACTCGAAAGGTGAATCTTCCGGAGCTCATTTGTGTCTAAATCCGATTGCGGCTTTTACATTAATAAAGTCATTATGATGGTCAAAAGATCAGAGCATTAGAGCACTCACTAAAGAAGCTTAAATGAAGACAGAGATAGTGAGTGCACCAAACGTCAAACTACTTTCACCTGCTGCAGTGGGAATTGTCTGAATTGTGAAAGGATCAGAAGGTTTGTGTGTGTCGTCACCTTTCTGGCTTCCTCTAACTCCTGCTGTAGCTTGTCCTTCTCCAGACCCAGTTCAGTGAGCTGCTCCAGTAGTCGACTATTCGCTCGGTTTGACTCCTGATCAGCAAGAAGTCGTCAAATCATTTTTATGATCGATCTGATTACTAATTCTAAAATATATATTACTTCGCTATAATAAAAACATTAAAAATACTTTTGTAACTGCTGAAGTAATAAAAGTATTGAAGCAATTGTTTTTTTGCTTTTCGATTTAAAAAAAAAAATTAAAAGGCTTTAAAAACAAACAAAAAAAAATGTTAATAGTTTTTTTCATCAGAATGGATTTTCTCAAAAACAGACTTTTCTGCTGGTGAGCATAAAAAAATAATAATACTGACTAATAATATTATAGTATAATATGATTCCTATGTCCAGTGACACTGGATAAAGCATTTTATTTAGAAATAAAAAAAAGTTGAATATGTTCCGAATGCTTTTCAGTTTTGTTTTCAAAGTTAACAGGTGCCAAAATACCTGTAGCTGTGAGTTGAGATCATCTCTCTGCGCCAGGAAGCTCTCCAGTTCTGTACGTTTCTGCTGAAGCTCTGCGTTTAGCATCAGATTTTGCTCTCTCAGCAAATTCTGTTCCTGAGTCTTCACTGTTTGGATCTGCAAAAAAACATACACTGAGTTTCAGATAAACCCCAAAGAACCCCGGACAACTGAATTAAGTCTTATTCAGTCTGAATTTGGTGTATATGCAAGAAAATGCCAACAGAAGACAAAAGAAGAATTAGTAAGGTGCAGAAAACACTAGACAACAGCTGAGAAATGCAATATCAACATAAATGTACCCATGAGTGCTTTCAAGCTAAATATAAACTTTTATACATGATGCAACACATATTTATGTATGAATGTATGTGTGAACATACATACACACAAAAACTATGGCTAAACAAAAACATACATAGACAAACATTAAAAACAGGAACTTTTTAAAACTCCAGTCAGGGTTAAAGTGCTGTAGGCGCTAAATGACCCTTATGCAGCCTTGCAGTGTTCTTAAAATCGGATTTGGTCTCTTATTTAATCCATATATATATATATATTTAAATATTAATATTTAGGTATTGCTCACAAAGGATAATGGGTTTGATTCCCAAGAAGTGCACATACTAATGTAAATGTATACCTTAATGCATTTTAAGTCACTCTGGAATGAATAAACAATGATTTTGGCTGGTGAGCAATAAACTAAAACAGTATTTAAATATGCCGTTTTGAATTTCAGTTTGAAGTTATCACACAGCCATACTTGCATTAAAGACACCAATCACAATGCGATTAGAAAATCACACAAAACCAGATTTTAAAACAAAACAATGTAACTTTAGGAACCTCCATGAATTTCCTTTTAGATATTGACATTTTTTCAAAGAAGAAAGTGCATGGCATCAAACAAATTGGCGTGAACTGAGAGTGCATTCTTAATCCCTTCAGTTTTTAGTAGTAATATAGGTAATGGCGATAAAGTTGATAAAAGTGACATTAGTATGCGTGTATTAACAGTTAATGGTACAAAGATCATGCGTGTTAGACCAGACAGTCATTCGAGTGAAGATGATGCTGGAACTGGGGTTGATGAAGGTCGTGAGGCTGTATCATGGTCAAGTACCTGTTCTAGGGCTGCTAGATTTGTCCTGAGAGCATCGTTCTCACTCAGCATGCCCTCCACCTGCTCCTGACTGACCGCACTCTGACACGCTACCTGCAGCTCCGCCCAAACACAAAACCACCCCACAAGACCAGGAGACAGAGAGAGAAAGCAAGACAAAAAAGAAAAAAGCAACACCAAATGAAAGATTGAAATAAAAGAGCAAAAGAATAAAGTACAATGAGTGAATAGAAGAACCAAAAAGAAAATGAATAAATGAAATAAAAATAATAAAATATAAAAAATATGAAAATGTTGAATATATATGTGTGTGTAAATTAGACAAAAACAGAAAAAAACATGAAAAATAACAAATGAAAGAACAAGTGAACAAACAAGGGAATTAACCAAAAAACATTACATTTTTTTTTTTTTTAAATAATGAAAAACAAAACAACGAAAAGGGAAAATTATGAACATTTTGAAAAAAAAAAAAGTATAAAATAAAATAAAGGGAAAAAATACAGAACAGAAAAAAAGCAAAAAGAACAACAAACAACAAAACCATGAAAAAATAACAAAAGAAAATAAATAAAGAACAATTGAGGAAGTAAATAATAAAGAAAATTGCAAAAAAAATGAAATGAACAAAGAAAATGGGGGAAAAAATTGAATGAAATAAAAATTATAAAATGTTCAAAATATTAACATTTTAAAGAAAATATGAAAGAAAAAATACAGAAGCAAAAAGGATATAAAGAAGGGAACATGTACAGAGAAAGGAGGAGATGAGATTGATGAATAAAGACATGTTCAGCGGCAGCGTGGGATTGTAGGGGAAGATGAACACAAGAAGAATAAAGCCCAAGGGGTGAACAAGAGCAAGAGATGATAAAGAAAGAACGCTCAAAACAAGTGAAAAGAAGAGAGAAGAAAACAGGCTGAGTTAGAGAATCCACATCAAACAGAAGAGACCCAGTCAAGCAATTCTGAATGGAAAAACAGAACAGGGAAGTTCTTCATCCTTATCTGCTTGCTGTTCATTAGAGGCAGCTGCTTAATTAAGATTTGTCACCTCATGGAGGAAGTGAAAGACATTTGTGGTGGCAGGACTTGCAGTAGGGCCGACGGCAGTACAAGAGCAGCCCTTTCCTCAGGGTCCCCGGCGGAGCGCGTGTGCCCCTAAGCCACCTGCAGTGAGCCCCACTAATCCTTAATTACTCAGCTGATCCTGAGCACCATCATCCATAAACACTCAATTAAACAGGCTGCTCTCTGGGTAATTATAAACTTCACGAACTTCTCCTTAAGCACAAAGAGTTTGCTATCAGCAGAAAGACTGCTGTGTCTTCCGGTTCATATTAAAGGCAGAGTAAGTGATTTCTGGTAGCCAATGTTTATATTTGAACCACCAAAACAAACACGCCCCTAACCCCAAAAGGGTCTTGCCCCTATTTTGATAGCTCCGCCCCACATATATGTACGCAACCCAGGCAACGATTAGTTCTGTGAAACAAAGCAAAACCAATGTTACACCGTGTCTACGGACGTGAGCTGCGCGGCGCAACAAATCCCCGACAGAAAACTGCTGCCGGGTTCTATTTATGACGTGCTGACACAAATTTCAAATGGTTTTCAACGGTCGTTTGATCGCGTCCAGTGTAGGCAGACTTTAGCTGTTGTAGACACAGTGTTACTCACCTATTGAGAAGAAACAAAGCAACCTCGGCGTCCGATCGCAGGCCTCCGCTCCTTGAGTTCTCTCCAGCGATGGAAAGCTGATCCGATATTTACACAGGTCCTACTTCTTGCCTTATCGTTCCACAGACGTTTTCCTCTTTTGTTTTTTATCAGCCATCTCTATCTTTCTGTCGCTCGGCTCGGCTAATGAAAACTGAAAGCGCTCTCCTCCACATCACGAGTAGACACGCCCCTTACTGCTGATTGGCTACAAGTTTGTTTTGCGATTCGGCCCAAATCAGTTTTCTAAAGTGTTTTTGAAAAATCACTTACTCTGCCATTAAAGGGATAGTTAATACTATATACTCACCCTCATGTTGCTCCAAACCTGTTTGACTTCGTTTAAGACACTTTCTTAAAACAAAAAAAACACTTTGAAGAATGTTTATGCTTCAGTACAATGAAAGTGACGCTCCAAAAATGCATATATTTTAAGTCTTCTGAATTCACAATTAATCACTTTAAGTCATGTTTTATTAAAAACAAGGCTGCAAAAAATGTATTGCCATTCATGAATATTAAAATGCGGTGCACTGCAAGATTCAAGTAGTTCAAAACAAAAAGCCATGTGTGAATATGCAAAAATGGGGAAGATTATCAAGGAATAACAATTTGACCAGATGAAATTCAGTCGGTTTCTCTCACCAAGTTATCATACGACTCCAGGAGATTTGGAATATAGTGCAAAAGTCATATGAAGTATGATGCCGTTTTGTCATTTTTGGAGCTCAATAACATCTGTCCCCATTCACTTTCACTGTATCGAGAAAAACACCCAGGACATACTTCTCCTGTCGAGTTCCACAAAAGAAAGAAAGTCAGGTTTGGAATAAAATGATGGTGAGTAATTGAGAACAGAATTTTCCTTTCTGGTTGAACTGAATAAGTAACTTTAAGACTGTAAAAGGCTTTCTAAGCAAAGCTAAACTACATTTTAAAACAAAGCTGAAAACCAAAACAACTAAATAATCATAAAACTGCCATTTAAAAAAAACTCAAATTTTCATTATTTGATTGTTTTAAGTGGAACAATAAAAACGTAATTGTGTTCCACGCTAACAACAACACCCACATGAGCCTTTTACGGTTTATTTAATTGAATCTGTAGGACCTATTATCATTAAAATTGCACTCAATTTATGCAGATTAATTGCCTGCTTTCTTTCATTTATAAACCTGTTAGTAAACGGCAAACCAGCAGATGCGGAGATTGCAGATTAATTCTCTGGAGATGCACTAACGACCATCTGTGACAGAATAAACATTAAAAGAAATGCTAAATGAACATTTTAACCAACTATTCATCTTCTGTATTCTTCCTATTAGTGCCTTTGACGATGTTTGGAATGGAACACTAGCATAATCTGCAGTATGTACTGTATACTGCACTGTATACTATGTAGTATGCAAGATTAAAACATTTCAAATGTGGTTGCATGACCACAGTAATTTGTTTAATTCAGTAACTGGCGCCCAGTAGTCATCTCAGAAATTAATATTTCACATTTTTAACCAATCTTGTGCACTACCTGATCTTTGAGCGCATGGATGGCCATCTCATGCTCTTTCTGTTTACTCTGCAACTGCTCCTTCAGTTCAGCGACGTTCTGAAATCGCACACACAAACCAACAGGCAGGAAGATTCAATGCATTTCTAGTATGACAGTGATGGATGCAGCAGTGTGTCTACGGTCCATTAATCTCTGCAGATGTGCCTCAGTGCCAGAGTCTGATCCTGAAGCACTGACTGCAGTCTTTAGCCCACTCTCAAGGGTTTGGAAATGTTTATCATCATACTCCCTTAGTGGCCATCCATCGATCGCCCTCTGAGATGTGCAACAAATGGGCTTTAATATTGGGGAATTTGGCAGGGTGGGCCTGAGCGGATCTCACCTGATTGGCTGCCATTAAATCTGTCTGCAATTTCTGCACACGAAGATTTATGGATTTGAGCTCCTCCTCTTTCCTCTGTTGGATCTCATCAATTTTAGTCCTGTGGAAACAAATGCATCATATGCTATGAGGGGTTTGATGTGACTAATGTGTGGTAGGGTCTATTCCCAGGCATCACAAAATGAATACCTAAATAAAACGGCAAATTCAGCAGGAAAAACATTACAGGTGAGTGTAAATGACATCATGGGAACAGATTTAATATAGAGTTGGGTTCCAGAAGTAAAAATGCCATTAAAAATCATCAGAGCTAAATAATTGTTTAGCATTTAAGATAAACTAATTGTGAGCCATACATAATGTTTCTACAGAAGCCATAAGAGTGATTTCGAATTCTTTTTTTTATTATTATTGAAGTTTCTTAAAGGAATAGTTCACCCAAAAATGAAAATTAGCTGAAAATATACTCCCCCTCAGGCCATCCATGATATAGATGAGTTTCTTCATTGGAACAGATTTGATTCATCTCATTTGCTCACCAATGGTTCCTCTACAGTGAATGGGTGTTGTTATTTTGAAGTTAAAACGTATTATTGATGGATTTGTTACTTATAAACACTCAGATTTTCAGTTCACAAGACATTCATTGATGGACTGGAGTGGTGTGGATTACTTGTGGATTATTGTGATGTTTTTATCAGCTGTTTGGACTCTCATTCTGATGGCACCCATTCATTGCAGAGGATCCATTGGTGAGCAAACGATGTATTGCTAAATTTCTTTAAATCTCTACCAATGAAGAAACAAACTCATCTACATCTTGGATGACCAAAGGGTGAGGATAGATATTTTTGGGTGGACTACTCCTTTAACGGATACAAATATGTATGATCCGTTCTGAGAGTGTAGAAAGAGTCAGACTTACATTTATTTTGCAGATGCTTTAATCCAAAGCAGATCAGTTTAAAATCAAGTGGGATTGTAGCAAATTGCCACTAAAATTGACAACATTCGGAGGTATAATACACTCGTCAATTTAGTGCCCTAAATTCATAAGTACACCATCAGCAGTCCTGATTCAAAATTCACCAATCAGATTCATGGGTGAGTATTTTGTTCTTGCATAACCGACAGAGTATCTTCAATTTGCTTTGTTTTTTATTTTGAAAGAAATATTAAATAATGCAACTCATCTTTAGGTTCAAGCCTTATACTTTAACTCTTCACTGAGAAAATAAATGGCAAATGCATTTCCAGAACCCAGCCTCCTAAAAAGTCCCTGTTGAGCTTTATCGCAAAGTAACTGCTCTGCTGGGTTTGCCTTTCTCACCTGCTGTCATTGTAAAGTGCTTCTTTCTCAACTTGTAGTCGCTGGAAGCTGTAAAGAGAAGCATAAAGAGACTTGAATCCTCATTGGCCCTAAAAAAAAACCATACAGCAGTGATAAATAACAGGCAGCATCTCCTGATCAGTGAAAGCAGGCCCCGTGTTGACCAGAGGGATGCGGATCGGAGGCAGTCGTGCTGATACAGCAGTCTACAGCCAGTGCCAGCACAACAAGTTCACGTTCAGACTCATTACACTGACACAGAGACTGTCGCTAGGCCACAGCCGAGTTATCACGGCACCTAGAATGGAACACTAAGGGGTGATGTAATCACACGGAGAGTTCTGATTGGCTGAGGGCCACTGTACAGAGAAAGAGGACTCGAGTTAAATGGAGGATTGAAAGTCATTTATTTTGTGCTTGAGGAGGTAATGTGTTCAAATGGAATATCTTCCATTAATATTGTCTTTAACTTCCATTCTTCCATATTTCAGCAGGTTTTGCATCAAATCACTCCATCACTGTCTTCCTCAATTAATCACCGCAATGTGTAGTCTTGCGCAGGTTTAAAAGTGCACTCAGTCATTTTGCCCTAAAGTTGTTTTACCCCTAAAGAAATTAATATTTCTTTTAAAAACTTGGTAAGATGATGCACACTCATATGGCTCACTGAGAACAGTGCATTTCTACCACGGCTTTGCATTTGTTATGTACATGTCACTAAATCATGTCAACTGTCATGTTGGCCAGCACAACATACACAGCATAAAAAAAAAAATTAGTGAGTGTACCTTTAAGAAATGCGAAGTTAAAGTAAAAAAAAAACACTTCAATAATTGCAGTAAACAGCAACTATCTTCAAGCCTTAAAGAAAAATATTCAAAAGTATCATAGAATGATCCCTTTTGACTCAATTTTCCAAGTGCTGTGAGGGCATACGATAGTGTTGACAAACTAAATCGAACTGAAATTTGAATTATTATTTAGCGAAAGTCCTGACCTTGGCCACTGGTCCTCTGTACAAGACTGTGCATTCATGAGACTGTATTAATGCAGAAGTTCATTTCAGCTTGCTCAGCAAAAGCCTACAAACGCACCATTTCAAGAAATCAATGTTAATCAAAATGCGACACACGGTTCCTAGAAAATTATGCAGATAGTGGTGAATATTTCCGTTGTGTTCTGGTTGTTCTCATGAATGCACAGTCGTTCACAGCAGACCAATGGCCAAGCTCAGTATTATGGCTAAATAATAATTTAAACAAAAAATATAATTTTTTCACCAAACCCTACCATACGCCTCCAGAATAGGGATGTAACAATTAACCGCGAGCCGGTCGAAAATATGTGACGATTCAAATCGGTTGAGATGCCAAACAAAACGCGATACAATTGGAGTAGGAGTTTATATGAATGTATCTCTGAGGGGAACTGACTATCTTTAGAAAAGTTTACGTGGTATTTTCTTTTCATCTTGCCTCTGAACAATGCATATTAAAGTAGTGTTCATAAGCAGCGGTAACCCAGGAAACACTGTATAATTGCTGTTCATAAGCGCCACCTGCTGTCAGAGAGTGAATCTGCTTCTCATTCAGCTTGTCTGCTGTTTTGCTCAAATATATGTTTTATGTAGTATAGTTTCACAAAACTAAAGTCAGACCATTCTGTTTTTGCTTCAAATTTCAAAATTATACAGTCTAATTTAAATTAAAAACTACTCACGCTGCATGTATGCTGCATCTTTGTTAGGATCATGATTAAAATCCAGTGGTTGCCTCTAATTTTAAATGGAAAGCGCACAGACAAAGCCTTAGTTTGTTCATATTAAGAGATTTCTTTTATTTGTGTAACTTGTTTGATTTGGGGTTTGTTTTAAAATTTCAATTTAGTTTTGTTAAAATTCAATTTCACAAAGAAACGTGAAGCAATAGCCTAATAAAACAACATCTTTTCATTTACTGTATAATGTCTTCAATCTCATTATGTAAAAAAAAATTGTGAGAAAATCGAATCGTGAAATCAAAATCATAAATCGAATCGAATTATGAGTTGAGTGAATCGTTACATCCCTACTCCAGAACACTTGGAAAATATGGTTCCACTCTGTGATCCTTTTGCTTCTTTTTCTGCTTGAAGCTGTTCGCTATTCATTGCCATTATATGGATGGGGGCAAGCAAAACATGTTTTTTTAAATTTCTCATTTTGTGGGCTGAAGAAGAAAGAAGGTCATATGACATTAGAACATCACCAGGGTGAGTAAATAATTACTTAATTTTCATTTTTAAGTTAACTATCGCTGTAATAAGAAAGTGCTGAACATATATGAACAAATAAAGCATAAAAGCAACTTACCTCTCTTGTTTTTTCTTCAACTTATCAGACAACTAATAAATGGAAAAAGAAAAAAAAAAGACATTATCACTGGCATCTTTATCACTGAGCACACATGCTAACTGAAACAGACAAATGACACTTACTTTAGCATTTTCATCTTGTAGTTTTGTGATTTCTGCCTGCTTGGACATCTGAAAATGAAAATAAATATATTACAACAAGAAATGTCTTTTGTAGGGACTAAAATATGGATTAACATAATAATAGAATAAGAATATGCAATCTGATCTTTGAAAAAGTGAATCAATCAGAATTCAAAATGAAATGCATAAATGAACTGAAAATACAATATTTAATGTAAAAATGTATCATAAAATTAAAAAGTTATTTTTAATAGGCGACTTTCTAAAATGTTCTATTCTAAAATTATCTATTCATTCTAGAAAACATTTCGAATATTTAAACCTGCAAAATGCAATTTTAATCATAGACATGAAAGTATTCTCTGGAGCAAAGTGAGAATGAAGGTGTCCAAAATTAGCACCCACGGCGAGGGTAAAAATACACACTCATCATCAGCAAAATAAATCCTAGCATTTTGTCCTTTTGTCTGTTTCCTGCTGTTCTGTGTATTTAGAGGGCAAAACTGATACTTTTACCTCTAGTGTCATGAGTTGTTCCTTCAGTAAGCATTTCTCCTCCATTTCCGTTTGAAGCTTTAATGCCACCTCTGAAAGCCAGCGTTAACAGATATTAATGCACACGACCCCTAGAGTTTGAGAAGTGTTCAACTGAAGCTCAGTCAAAGTCAGACCATTGTGCTGCTATATGAAGATCCAGAACACATCCTTCCCTGGTTCTACTCAGTTAACTCCTCGGTAAGTTTGATAAGGTCACAACTTTAAAAGGAAGTTGTCAAAAAGATGTACTCACCGCTCAGCTCATTATCTCGCTGTTCTAGTTTGACGCTTTGCACTTCGGCCTAGAGAACACAGGAGGAGACCAAAAATATATACATATAATGAAATGAACTCTTTATCACAAAGGGTTTTAACAGCAGCTTCAGTTTCTACAAAGCAGCTCCACAAATAAAACCCCATTAAACACAGAAATCAGTGGATGTTGAAAGGAAAACCCTTTATGAAAGCTGACATTATGCATATGGAAACAAATCGACCCCATTTAAAGGGGTCCTATTATGTTCTTTTACAAAGTCTTGATTTTGTTTTGGGTATGTACTAGAACAGGCTCTCATACTAGGTTGTTCGAAAAACACATTATTTTTCACATATTTTACATTATTACAACACCTCTCTCCCCAGTCTGGCATGAACGGCTCGAATAGTTCCTGTATCAAATGAAGGCCCGCCTTCTGAAATGTGAAATGTGCTGTGATTGGTTAGCTGGGCCAGTGTGTGTTGTGATTGGCACCACTCGGCACCTGGTCGGGAAATGTCATGCCACTTACCATAGCCGCCTGCGAGCTTCAGTGTAAATATTGCGTCAATATCAAATCAATTTGAGCGCGATTTAAACCCGGATGATTGTAACCACTCTAAGTTCGTCTGCCTTGGGAAAGCTAGCATGTCTCTGACATAGTGATAACACTCGTTGCCTTCTCTAGTGCAGCTCAACCATGTCTCATCACATTCGTCGATATTTGTGATATCACGAATCCCGGAAAATATGCGTTGTTGTCCAAACGAGTCGTTCGTTGTAGTGTTTGAGAAGTGATTTCTGTTAAAGCTGCAGTCCGTAACTTTATTTAGTTAAAAATGATCCGAAATCAATATTTGAGCAAGTACATAACCAGCCAGTGTTCAAAACTATCGCCTTACTTTAGCCCGAATCACAACGGTTAGCTTATAATAATGTTTTCTAATTTGAGTGTTACGGGTAGGTTTTCGCGGGAAATTCGAGCATTGCACTGCGTCATTATGTCACGTCTGTAAACAAAGAAGTTGTCCCGGCTACTAGGCTATCGCATGTGAGGATCCTGGCCTATCATTTATAGCCTTTTCTCACAGAAGCCAGAATAATTAAATGTATCATTTTGATGGCGGACTGCAATCCATAAAGGATTATGTGTTTATGAAACACATGTGAATGAAATTAAATTATATTCCAGTTATAAATGTGCTTCTAATTACAGATAGCCTGGGATTACAAAGATTTGTATTTTAAAGAAAACCAGTTAGAAGGGAGCATAATTAGCTTTTTGGGTTAAAAGAATTTCTTAAAATTAAATTCGGTGAAAATTCTTATTTGGGTCATATTCCAAGACGTAGGCTAGAATCTGTGATTGCGAAGTACAGTAAATATCCATACCGGTGCGGTGACTGACTGCCACACACACATACTCCTCAAAACATTAGATTCATCCACGCTGGAGCCGTGCCGACTCACAACTCACGCAAGCTAGATAATTCCGCACAAAGCTGCAATTCCAGGTTTTCAAACAGTGATGGCGACAAAGAGGCAAAACTTACGGACTGCATAACTTTAAAATAAGTGTCAAATAACAAGGGCTTTGTGACAGGCTTCATGTGAACACATACATGCTTTTAAACACATTTTTCATAAGTAGCATTCAGTTCTTTTCACCAAATGACTCTAAGGAGATCTGTAAAATAATCCATGTGACATCAGGGGTTCAACCATCATTTTACAAAGCTACGAGAATACTTTTTGTGCGCAAAAGAAAAGAAAAAAACAACTTTATTCAACAATTCGTCTCCTCCGCATCACCCTGTAGCACCATTTTGGAGATTTTTTTTCTTTAGCGCACAAAGTATTCTCGTAGCTTCGTAAAATGATGGTTGAACCCCTGATGTCACATGGATTATTTTACCGATCTCCTTGCTACGTCTCTGG